TTAAAATCTTCACTATAGCCTTATAGCAAAGTTGAGGTCTAGGACATAGAGTTCGTTATAACAAGAGTTGACTGTATAAGAGAAGGCCAAAAATTACATTATTTTGATTTTAAAAATTTAACCTTTTTTCCCTTTCTATTATTATTTTTATTACTTTTAAATAAGGAATTATATAATAATATCATCTTAGGTGAACTTCCTTCCTTTTTTAAAAAATTATGTCATTTTTTACCCTTTTCTAATTCAATATTAAAAATTTAATATATAATAAATGTAATATTAGTTTATTTATATTTTAAGTTTTGAAAAAATTAATTGAGTAAATGAATTTTTATTTACTATCAGTTTTTTCTACCACTATTATATTAAGAAAACTAAATATTTTTTTTTTATCTTTTCTTTCTTTTAATACTATTAACAGAAGAAATTATAACTTTAAATATCACGTGAGATCTGCTGATTAATAATAATCTTATATTAAATAATTTTTTAATTGCGTTAAATAATAATTAACAATAATTTTTATTTTATCTATTTCTTCTATTTCTTTATATTTTCTGTATAATCTATTTATTCTATTTACTCTGTTTCATTTGTAATTCTTTTAGCATCTAATTTATTTTATTTATTTTTATCATTTTTATAATTTATTATATTTTTATTATTTTATTACGTTTCTGTATAATTTTATTAGAATATATATTTATATTTAGTTAATTTTAATATAAAAAGTAGTTAGCTGTAGCAAATTAATTTTATATAAATAGAATAGCTTTTTACTTAAGTTATAAATTAACTTTTTTATAAGCATAAGTTTCAATATTATTAATAAAAGAATCAATTTAAATCTATACAAATTACTTTCCTTTTAATGTTATTTCTCATTTAAAATTTATTATAATATCTTACATTAACTTATTTTTAAGTTCATTCTTATAAGTTTAACTAAATATATCTTAAATTCTAAGATATAATTAATTGCTAAATTAATTCAAATATCTTTAAAACTTAGAAAAAATCCTAAAATCGTAAATTTTAGCAAATAGAATCAATTATTATAGCCTTTCAACTTAGACATTAAGATAACTAAAAATGAATCCAGTAATAAAATGTTAGAGTCTCTTAAAATAAAGGACTTAAAGTAAAGAATATAATTATTAATTAATAATAAATTTCATTTAAACTTTTTTTAATAGTAATAATTTTAATTAATATGATTATTTTTAGCTATAATATAATATTTGTAATTGGTTTATTAATTTTATGAAAAAATATAATTATTTGAACTGATTTAAAGGAATTATTTGAAGAATTAAATGTATATTAAAAAATAAATGTGATCAAAATATTATCTGAATGCATTTATTTAATCACTATTGTTAATTTTTAAAAACACATAATTTTAAGCAATATAACAAAAAAAATAATAAAATTCAATCTTATTCCTGTTTGTAATATTTTAAAGTATATAATTTAGTAAAAATATGTAATATCTAGAAAATATAAATCATAAATACATTTATTTATATATACTTAAAATTAAAAATTAAAAGTAGTGTGACTATTAATTTTAATATAAAAAAAATTAATTAAAGGTTAGTTGTACTTTTTATATAAATTATTTTGAGACATGACAAATGAGAAAGAATGTAATTGATAAGATAAATATAAATGATTTAATTTACCAATAATAATTATTAATTATAAATGCTAACAATTTTTAAAATAATAAGATAAAAGATCATATTAAACTAATATTAGATACTTAAATTCAAATATGATTTTTAGGTAAATAGTAACACATACAAAATATAAAATTTCTTTATTTTTAAAATTATTTTTTAGAAAAGCATTTTGCTAATCTATAATCTAATCAAGAAACTAAGCCCATAATTGATTCAGTTTAAATTAATTGTTCTTTTAATTTGGCAAGTTTAGTAAAAATTTTTATTGTTAGAGACGCAAATTGAGTCACGTGAATCAAAACGCAAAATTTATAAGGCGAATGATCAACAGTCGTATCATAAATTATTATTTTTATTTTTTTTTTGTTTAAAACCTTTAAATATATACCAATGTAAATTATGGCGAATATCGTTCAACCTCTTTGTGTACCCTCTTCATATAAAGATCAACAATATCAGGTACTTATTCCTAACTTAAGATTTTAACTTCTCCTCTTGGTTGTGTTTAACTAAGAAAGATAAATATGTTTCTAAAACCTTAACAAAGGGTTCTTCGACAGACCTTGCAAAAGATCTTTCAAATAGTACCACGTTATATGTTGGAAATCTTTCTTTTTATACTACGGAAGAACAAATTTATGAATTATTCTCAAAAGCAGGAGAAATAAAAAGAATTATTATGGGATTAGATAAATATCAAAAGACCCCTTGCGGGTTTTGTTTCGTCGAGTATGTAAATTTCTTTTTTTTTTTTGGATTTTTATTTTATTAGAAATTATACTAAATTTTGATATAGGTATTACCATCATCAAGATGCATTGGATTGTATGAAATATATTAACAGTACAAAATTAGATGAAAGAATTATTAGAACAGATTTAGATCCAGGATATCGAGATGGTAGACAATTTGGCAGAGGTAGATCAGGAGGGCAAGTACGTGATGAGTATCGTCAAGATTATGATACAGGACGTGGAGGTTGGGGTCACGTTCGTGCTAGACAAGAAGCTGAACGTGCTAGAAGACAGAAAGAAGAATATGAAGCCATCACTATTATTCCAAGCGGTGCTCAAGAATATAAAGGAAAATGTATATATCGAAAAGATTTTTTTTTTCTTATTAAAAAATTTATGACAATATATATTTTTTTTTATAAAATTCTTTAGCTTCGGGTTCCAAAAAGCGAGATAGGACAGAAGATGATGATCGTGAAAATCGGGAAAAAGCTATTAAAGTATGTATTGTTTGTATTAGATGAATCCTTTTCAATGGATTATTTTTAATGAATTCCTTTTTTCTTTGAAAATAAAAACAAAAACAAAAAAAGAATCCACGCTTCAGAGAAGGACGATCTGATGATGAAGATGAAATGCAGACTGATACTTGAAAATTCCATTGATTGGTAAAACAAATCATCAAAATCCTTGCCTTGTCTTGTTCCCTTTTACATAATCAAATCAGATTTTGGGTTACATAAATATCATTCTAGTTGTAATCCATAATATTCCTCTAAATGGTCTATAATTGCAGGGATGCTTGTCAAAGTATTAAAAGATTTTTTCTCTGCATTACTCATAACATCCTCAAACATATACATCCTATAAACAAATGGTTTGTGAGTTTGAAAGAATACAAAAAAAAAAAAAATTAAAAATTAAAATTATTATACGTACAAATGGTGATGAAGTATAAAATGATTTGATCCATAAGCAATGGATAGTCTAACAAAGTTTTCAACGCAATCCCAAGGAGTAAGATCATAACCGGCAAATAACGCAGGATTTCTTAATAAACCTCTTGCACACATCACCCCATTCACACCTGTTTGATTATAAATATCTTCTGCATCATTTAAAGTAAATATATTTCCGTTGGCTATAACAGGGATGTTTACATTTTCTTTTATTAATTTTATTGCATTTAAATTTACCGGCTCAGTTGACTTTTGACGACGTGTGCGTCCATGTACCGTGATGAAATCTATCCCTATTGATTCTGCCCTTTTCACGAACTCTATCGTCTTCCTAAATAATAAGATGAAAGGAATTAATGATTTTGTTGAGAAAGTGCGCTTTAATTTGTAACATGAAATTTACTTCAAGTCATTATGAATTCTAATTTTAATTGAACATGGTAAAGTTGGAATGTTTGTTTTAATGGTTCGAATCATATCACTTATTTTTTCGGGTTTCTCCATCAAATACACTCCAATTCCTTCATTTATTGCCCATTTCTGAGGACATCCACAATTAACATCTATTCCGTCAACATAACCAACTATTAATTCAACAGCTTTTAATAATTCAACATTATCATTACTTGCAAACTGTATTATTAATGGTTTATCATTTTTATTGGTGGTAAAATCGGAATTCCTTGCAATATTTGAATTTTTAAATTCTTTTGCTAAGATCATTGGTGTGTACGTTAAATCTACATTATAACTAAACGATAAATTGTTAAAAAAAAAAAAAAAAAAAAAAAAAAAAAAAAGGAACAGATTAAAGTTGCTTACCCACGAACCAACTCACGAAAAGGTAATTTACTATATCTAACCATTGGTGCACATACATTGATATATTTTTTAGGATTAGAATTGTTATTAATATTAAAAACTTCTAATACCGAATTTCTGTTTGACATTTTTGGTTCGATAATTAGCTGCGTAAAAAATAATTACCATGATCGTTAAATCCCGAAATTAGCAGTAAACCTTTGGAAAAACATGAATCGGAAATTACATATCGCGTGACACAAATTCTAAAATTATGATTGGTCTACACCATGACAAACCTTTCCTTAAAACTTTCGACAAAGTGACGATCTCAGGACATGTTACCTTTTGTGTCGAAGTCAAGGCCTCAAAATTCAAATGCAAAGTAAACCAGTTGAGAAACAAGAGATACGAACAAAGACAATTGCTGAAAACAGAAAGGATTTGTTACTTTTAAGAATCTGGTTATACGATTCTTTTAACGCTAATGTCAATATCGCTTCAATTTTTACGAAACTATCTCCAAAAAAAAATATGATTTCTTTGATAACTAATTAAAAAATAAAACTGCTATGAGCGACTATCTACGCAAACTTACATCATACATTTTTTTTTAATAGTTTTCCCACGAGCGGGAATATTAGGTTCGTGAGTTCTAACGCAAAAATAAATTAATCCATTTAGAGAGAAAACTTATGTAGAAAGTATGGGATATTTCCCGATTAGGTAAAGGATTCTGTCTTTTCAAAACTTTAATTTTTTTCATCTATACTATTCGTTAAAATCCTGCATGCAGTTAATCGCATTATATCATGTCCAAAACTCTTTGGGCTTTCAAAGAAAAAAAAAAACGTCAATTATACCATATAATAATTATAATGTTCACTACCCAAACTACTTTTAACTCCGAAATTTATTTTGAAAAGCTCTCGAATTAATTTTTTTCCGAACATATGTTATTTTCATTGAGATTATCTAAAATCGGAATTTCTTGTTAAAACAAGATTTCAATTTGAAGGTATTGGGAAAAAAAAACCTGAAATCTTATTTATAAATATAAAAAAAATACTTGTAATTCAACTGTTTATCATAGGAATCAGTAACACAATCAGCGGTCAAGACTATAAATGAAATATCAACTGATAATCTAAAATCACGTGCTCTTGTTTACATTCAAGTATATAACGCTCCAAGTTGACGATTTTTTCCGTCAAAAAAAGGATTCGTTTCGACCAAATAAATTAGTATAAAAACAGTCAATTTACGTTTATCCAAGGTTATGAAGAGCTCAAGTCAGAGAAAACTAAGATCTCAAGAAAGAACTGGAGTCAATGAACCGCTAATGACTCAGTTAACGAACATGGACGAGCAATTATCAACTCCTCCCGTTCAATCAGTCAACCAATCTCTTAATCAGCATGATGCAAATACAAGTTTTTATTCTGTATCTAGTGTTCCAATTGAAGAGTTTAAAACCATACAGACGGAATCATCAAATTTACAATCCTTGTCATCTGATACTTCTGAATCAAGTTTCTTTATCAATCGTTCAAATAGTTCATATTATAGCATTTCTCGCTCGTCTTCGCTTTCATTATCCAGAGGAAATTCATTTATCGGTACAGAATCTGTACACTCAGCCAACAGCAGATCGCGTGCAACATCTCCCTTCGTGATTTCGGAAACTTCTTCGGGTCTTCATTCCGAATCTACCCGTTCAGTTTCATCCGTTAATCAATCTTATTTCTCAGTCTTAAATGATGAAAATTCTGTTCATGGCGATAACTGTTCAAAACCTACTGAAGATGCGGGACCTTTTAGACAACCATCAGGTGTTCAACACCTGGAAAATTCTACAACATCTGTTGTACAAGGTGAATCCGAGACGAGTCCAGGTATTGGTATTGAAAACAATAACGTACAAGTAGTAAACCTTGAAGATATAAGACAGCATTCGGGATTTCTTCGCCATATTTTGAATCATGTGCACTTGTCCTTGCAAGGGATCTTCAACGTGATGGTTTGGATGATCTTGAAATTATATAGAATCACTTTAAAATATTTCTTTGAACCAGTTTGGAATAAATTTAGAATTATAGGCGCGACGAGAGGTTTGGACGACAGTATGGTTGTAACAAGAACAATAACTATGATAGACGGGAACCAAAGTACTGATAATAACTCAACGATGATGACAAGTGGCAGTGACGCGGTTAGATCGCGATCGAACCTGGTCAAATGGTTACTTTTGTCCGCACGTGATAATTGGATGGTTTATGCGGTGATAGTGATGATTGTTATGCTTATTCCTTGTAACGTGACTAATTTTCAAAACTTGGAATTCGCAGAATGTATACCAAAATTTAATCATATATTTCGAAGATATAGCGATCTACAAATCTCAATATTTCATAGATTTGATTCTCTAAATAATGATATTGAATTCGAGCAAAATGATACTTTGATTCGAGATGTTGTCGCTAATCAGGTTAAGACAGTTTGCGCAGCAGAAGTTCAAAAGAGAATTCCATCACAGAATAATGATTTGGTCAGGTATCGAAGTAATCATGTATCAGAAGGTCTTGTTGTGGATATGGTACGACAAGAAATTAGAAAAGCCGTTGAAGAGATGTTATACACTTATTCCCAAGACAAGTTAAACAAAGCTGATTTTGCACTCTCAACCGGTGGTGCAAAAGTTATTAGCCCACTTACTTCACCTACTTTTGAGCAATGGCCAACACAATGGTACGGGGCAGCGATCGCAAAGTTAACAGGACATGGAATTACAAGGGGTAAACCACCTGTCACAGCTCTTCAACCCGATACACACGTTGGGCAATGTTGGCCATTTGCTGGACAAAAAGGACAATTGGCTGTATTGTTGAGTCGACAAATCTATGTAACCGCTATAACTTATGATCACGTTAGTAAATCTATTGCAATGGGTACAACAAGTGCCCCTAAGGAATTTGAAGTGTGGGGATTTTCTGATATTGATCCAAATGTACCGTCAGATCTTCAATCAGATCATAAGTCAGATCATAATCCAGATAATGATCACGCTGAATATATCAGCACCGTCACCACTAATGTTAACAGTTATCCCACTGTTGAACCAGATTCAAACGTTCTCGTATCTAGCCATTTACATTTATTTGGAAGAGATTTGAAACTTGGTTCTTCTTCTAACCATTTGTTTTTGGGGCGGTTCGTTTATGATGTAAACGGTTCACCCATTCAAACGTTCGAGGTAAATCAATTGAATAAGCCTATAAGTGCGATAATAATGAAAGTGAACAGTAATTGGGATAATCCATCATATACATGTTTATATCGATTCCGTGTACATGGTGTACGTCCGGATGTAAATAACGAAACTTCTTGAAGGTATGTAAAGAATCCAAGCTTTAGTTACTGTAATATTAATGAATTAATTGGCAACCTTTTTTGCTTAAAAAACCCGAATACCTATTTGCTTAACTATATACTCATTATATTTTGGCAGGTGAAATTTAAAGTTTCTTATAAATATATATATATTTTTTTCTATTGATAAATTTTGGCTTTAAAAAAGAGATTTGTTTTTTTTAAAAAATCAACTTTACCAAATTTTGTAATAAACAACTTTTTTTTTAAAAAAAAAAAATCCTTATATTATTCATGTGAGATCTGCTTCATCTGCTAGAAATTCGAACTCGTTTAATTTGAACTTTTTTTTTCAACAAAAGATTGAATTCACTAAACTATGCATCAACAAATTAAGATGATGGTTTCTGAATAACAAATATGAATTATAATCTTTTAATTTTGCAATCCTTATATTGCAACTCAATTTTATTCAATTATTACAAAGGTTAAGGATAGACTAATATTAAAACTACATAAAACCACTACAATATACATTAGTGTGGTGATGAATGACGATCATTTTATAAATTTGGCCGCGTGTTTTTGACCGACGAATAGAATATAATTATTTTTGAATAATATAAAAATATTATTTAATTGAACTCAACTTTTTTTTTTTGATTTTTGAATAGAAATATGGTATAATTTATTTTAAAAATTTATTGATTTGAATATAAAATCATTTTTAAAATGCTAAATTTATAGCTGAATTCAAAAAACCATATATAATATGTATTTTTACATATTTGCAAATTTAATTATTTTAAAATTAAAATTAAAATACAGTACAAAAGTAACATTTTATTAATTGCTTTAAAATAAGTAAATTTTAATATTTTTTTAAAATTTAACTAAGCAAACTATAGACATAAATATTACTTAATCTGGGTTTAGATCAACCATTTTGTTAATACTTAGTTTATCTAAAAATATCATTTTACTAATAAAAGTTTTACCAACAGTTACAAAAAAAAAAAAATAATTTTAGAATTATTAATTTTATTAAACCATTTATTAAACTTTTATAAATTGTTTATAATAAATTTATTTTTATATTTTATATAATAGATTTATTTCATTATAATGGTAAAATTATAAAAAATTATAATATTATAAAGAAAATCCATAACTATCCTTTTATTTTACTTATTATATATAGTTTAAAATCAGAATTTATATTTATAGTTTTTGTTTTTAAGAATTAAACTTATATATACAGTATATTACCTACTAATATTTTTTACTTTTAATAATACTAAACTTCTAAGAGTTAAAGTCTGAAAAATGAAAATTCAATATAATTAGTAATTGGTTAAAATAAAAATAAAAATATTGATATAAATTGTATCACATTTTTATTTCTTAATATATATTTTATTTTATTATAAATATAATATATTTCAAACTATTTAATAATTTTATTAATTACTGTATAATATTTGATTTCAAATCAATATATTTTTTATTTAATTATTACCAAATAAAGTAGGTAATTCTAAAGTTTTAGTAAACAAATCAACTATTTGCCATTTAGCATCTATATTAATAGCAGGATGTGTTTGATTATGTATATTATCAATTTCATCATTCTCTTCATTATCATAAACATCATCAATATTATTATGTCCTTCTAATTCAACTTTTAGTATTTCTTCCCATTCAATTATTATTTGATCTCAATCAATAATTATTGTTTCCAAATTTTTATCCAATTCAAAATAATCTTCTTCCAAATCTA